ACAACACGAGGAGTGCTTCGTTCTCTGACAACTGCGAAAAATTTGGCAAAGATGATAAACGGTTTAAAAAGTAAAATACAAGATAGAGCCAAAGTGCGCCTCAACTTTGATTCGTAAGCAATTCCAGCTTCTTGAAAAGCATGCAGAATATTCGGATCACTGTATTTTGGCACTTTTACAGTTGCGAAACGTTTAACATAAATGTAAGAATTTGAACGAATGAGGATTCAGCGATAATTTTTACTGAAAGTAAGCGCGATTATTTTAGCTCTTTAAAAAAATGCTCTCTCGATGCTTCTGGTTGAAATTTTTTATACATTTTTAAATGAAGAGATGAAAATCGATTGGATTTCATTTAATTCTGTATCATTTTAAATGACAATAATCCAAACAAATTATGCAAAAACTTTAAAATCCCAATTTGATAACCGCTGACGCCGCAAGTTTGAAGAATCGCATCACTGCGTCAAACATAGTGCGGCCGGCGCGGCTCTAAACGCATAGTAGCGCGCCTCACAAGACTGCAGGATACTTCATGCATTGCGCGTTTATTACAGTGCGCGCAGGATATAGTAGCGCCTTACAAGACTGCAGGATACTTCATGCATTGCGCGTGCGGACACCATTTCCGAACAGTGCAAACAGCGAGATCGATCCCAGGACACTGGAAGAAATATCAGATGATACCGACAATAAATATTTCGAACCATTAGAGCACATTGAGGAAGAAATCTCTTTTTTAAGGTCTCGCAAGAAATGATTCTATATTCAGCTGCCAAATTCAGCTTGTGATTGCGGCATATGAAATGAATAATTGCCGAAAATTTTCAGCATTCCTGGTTACTTCCGGTGAGAACCGGAAACACTCATTATTTCCCGAAAGTATTGAGCATTTCCGGTTTCATTAAGTGATCGCCGAAGCAGTCTATGAATTCGCGCGTATGCATTTATGAATTTCCTCGAGGTTACAAGGTAGACTTAGGGCAATTTTCAAATGAAAATTTGTTGGCCAAAACTTTAGTTCCAGTTTGATCCCAGTAACGATATAGGACCTGGAGGGGGGGAGGTGGGGCTCTTAAGAGAGTAGGAAGTATAAAGTAATATATTGACGTTAATAGAAAGACCGAAAATTTTAAACGGATGAATCATGTCACGATCGTTACGGAAATGTCACGACCATCACACTTTTTTCTGAGTTATGAAACAACTGCCAATTTTAAAGTTCATAATTTTTGAACCATGTATAAGATTTTTTAGAGGCGTAGGTTCAGATATTTAAGAAAAAAAACAAATATGTAGTTATTTCATCCTTAAATCATGAAACATTTCTTTGTTTTCCGAGAAGAAAAGCTGAAAAATCTGCAAAAATTAGAAAACATTTGCTATTTTATGATGAACATATACACTGGGTCACTATTTTTCGTTGTTTCACTTCTTCATTGGACCTAACAAAAAAAAAAAAACTGCATATTTGACCATTTGTCTCTTTCTGATGGACCAAAATAATCGATGTGACGGTCGTGACATCCGGGATCTATTTTTAAAACAATGTACAAAAATATGTACTCGTATAGAATTGTTAAGCCTGATACTATGCTGAACTAAGGAAAAAAAACTCTCAATCCAAAATAACATAGTTGAATTTTTAGTTTTTGGGAGGTCAAATTGGACAGTTTTCGTAGAATTACCCAAATATCAACGGGCGGGTATTTATTACAATTACTTCCGGTGCAGATTCTCATCTTGTACCTCCTGATGCACACTGACATTGTAAATACTATCCGTGCGATTAAGTGTATGTGTTACCTACTCGTCTAACTTTCTGAGAGATGGTCCATTAAAGCGCTTGCGGCTCTCAGCTCCGAGAGTTCATCATTTGAATTTCCCGGTACAAAATCGAATATTGCGCGGGAACTTATGGTCGGATGTTTTTTGCACTGCCAATACATTTCGCGCGTTTTCCATCCCCCTAGTCGTTTCCTGTTTCCGGTCCCCGTGGTTTTATCTCTTATCAACACTGTGCCCTCACACACGTGTTAATTGTTATAATCGTCGAATTTGAGTGTTTTCGTAGTTTTTCTCCCGGAACACTTAGTCGTCCTCATCACCATTGCATATCTATACTAAGTGAGGAATTCAGAAATTAATCAAGTGCTGAAAACCATTATTTTGGGCAGGCTAAGATAAGTTGACGCATACCCTCCTATACAAAAACAGTCATGACTTCTTCTTTCAGGGTAAGTTCTATTTTATATGCCTTTTCGTTAAAATATGCTGTCAATTTTGTGCAGCTCGAACGCTTCTCGAAATGTTCAAAATCTCTCCGGCTACTACAGCAATGCTGAAATTGTATCGCTCACATAACCTAGAAATTCATGCTTGTACGCATGGATCCAGCATGAATAATTGCTTGATCACAGATGTAAGGAATCTCTTTCAAACGATACCACAATATCCAGCGATCGTTTTTATCGATACTCATCATCAGCTCTTTTATACATCCATTTGAATCACTCAATCGATCAATCATAGTGGTCCTAGGAGCTACCTACCTGAGTTTGGCTGACACCGAGCGTCTCATAATTTCTGCTTGTGACCGTGCTACTTTATTTAAGAGGTTGTTAAACTTGAGGTAGGTAATGGTAGGGAAAAAGGGACTGATCATTAAAGCTTACAATTTTCAATGCATCCCTAGAGCATGACGCAAGTCAATATTGCTCAGGTATTCTCTGCATTGGGCCCATAAAGAGTCTAATCCTTGAGTTTTGCCTTGCGATATATCAAAGTGCTGATAAAGCTACATTTTGAGACTGGTTTTTCTAGTACTCCTCACCCTACTTTTCGTCAACTGGCGATGCTGTGTGCATGGGGTCCCTGCACGGGGCTTTGCTAAAAAAATATAGGTTTAAAATTTAGTTCACCAAAATTGGGAGTTTCATGCACCTATTTTTTATTTTGTTATGACTTTGGTCAACATAATTTATCAAAATTTGCAAAGATCCATTTAAAGTAATAAGGCCTGAAAAACCATCCATAGCCTGTGATTTTTCCATTGGCTGCTGTGTTAAAAAATGTTGTATGGTTCTCACTTCCTGGCGAACGGTAGATTAGAAATGCATCGTTCAAGGATTGACTTCATTTGCGCTCCGCTACACAGGAATTCTGGTGGTGGACCATAAAATAATTAATGTTGACCCCATGGTTTGGAGGATACACATACATTGCATGGCAACATTTATTCAGATGGCACCATTGATGAGCGGTGATGGAAACAAGTCTTGATTTTTTTATCAAAATATATGGTGAACAAGCTCTAACAGATGTACTAGGAGCCGTAATATTTAGTTTTCTTGTAGAGATGCTACTGCCAAATCCAGAACTTTTAACGAATAGGCAGTACTGACATAAAGCATTGATTTTTACACCAGCTGCACCTTGTAATTTTCATTCTGAAAATTTTCATGAAGTCAGGAAATTTTAAAATTTATTATGACTTATCCTGTGTTTAATTAAGACATAATTTGAAACTTCTGCCTTTTTCAGCCTGTTGACTCCAAGCGGGAGGAGTTCCGCAAGTATGTTGAACGCAATGGAATCATGGGAGCTCTAACCAGAGCCCTAACAATGCTTTATGAAGAACAAGACAAACCAGAATGTGGTTTAGAGTATCCTTTTTACCGGTGATGTGCAATTATAATTTTTTTCCCCTCAAATTTTTTACTCATACCTGAATTCAGTTACTTGCTGGGGTCATATTACTCCTTTGGGTGGCAGGGGTGTTTATAGTTATTTCATTTCTAATCGATTTTCTGATTTTGTAAACCTCCCATTCATCCAATTTTTTCACTGTGGTGACCATTTTTTATAGTTCTTGCTGTTTGTTTACGAATTCTTACCATTTTACAAACATCATGCGGTTTTCAAGCTTCAGGCTTTTCCATGCTAAGCCCATTTTCACGACCATCCCATTTTCAGAATAATTTTGAATAGCCTCCATAAGGCTCTCATATGTTTGCGTAACTATTTAGGACCTGCTGGTACAGAAAGGAGTAAAAAAAAAGTCTGCACCCCAGTTGTGTGACATGTGAATCAGGTTTCTTGCGAAAGGATATTTACAGGTTTCATCAGGCGTTTTCTGCCTTACAAGCTATACCCCATATAAAAAATCAGGAATCTGACAATTTTGAAGCTTGATGTGAGATTAGCTTGGCAGCTAATCTCACCCAACCTTACCAGCCAAACTTTCATGTAGAACGCAAGAGGCTTAAAAATTTCTCATGAGAGTCGTATGTGAGAAATGATTGCTCTTGTCTGCCAATATGTATGACCCTTGCGCTATTGAACCAAAGTCTCATAAGTTTTATTGCATACTGAATTCATTTTTACACGCTTCCTAGTGGAATAAGCCTCTCTAGTACTCTTTTTTCCTTGACAAGTCACCAGGATTATTTACCAAGGTAGAAAAGAGCTTGTGGAAAAATTGTTCTGGACAAATTGACTGCTTGAATGAGTAGAAAAAATTAGTAAAATATCAAAGCATAGCTAGATAAAAAAAAAAAATGTTAGTAAAAAAATTAGCATCATAAAGTATGTTTCTCATAAAAAAACCGCATCGAAGATGGCGGACACAAGAATTCTGAATCCAATTCATAAACGAGAAATCAGCATTTCCATTTTAAGTTCCAGCTTGCCACCTACTCCCCTCTCTAGTATTTACCCTTAACCTAGCTCTTCAGATATATTCGCAATATTTTGAATGAGGTGCCTCATGCAGATGAGTTGCAGCCTTTACGGAATGAAGTAGATCACCTGAAGCACAAACTTATTTTGATTGAGTCGCAAAGAGACAGGCTTCTTGATCGGCTGTTGAAGTATGAGCCTGATGCTGCCAGTATCATTCATAATAGTTCGAAAAGCAAAAGTGAAAAGTAATGAAAGAACTCAACTCAGCAATTCTTAATTCTGTACATTCCAATCTCATGCAAGCTAATTTCCTATTTTTTCAGAATTTTCTTTTTTTAAGTGGTGAAATGACTCATCAAAGTAATAACATTTTTCTACTTCAGATTTGTCTGTTTCACCCCGTGGAAAATAATTTCCCTCTACATGTTCAAAGAAAAAGTTCCTTTTATTTTTAATTGTGTCTCTGAAGAGTTCCTTTATGTTTTAAGTTGATAAAGAATTAATTTACTTTTTTATGTCTTCATAGAGTTACTTTTCTTTATGATTTTAAAGCGTTTCTTTCTTTGAATCAACTAATTATTTTAGTTTCCCAATCATAGATTTATTTTTTTCTTTATTGTTTCCGTTATGATGATTTTCATAATGTTACTATTTTTCTTTTCTCCACTTGTAATAACTTTTATCATGCACATGCAAACAAGTTCAAACTGACTTGCCTCTTAAATAAGAATTTGAAACATTGTTCTTAAATTGTAAGAAAAATTGCAAGCAAAATTATTAGAAAGATTCCTATAAAACGGCAGGAGGAAAAGTCTTCTACAATGGATTAAAATTTCTAAAGAAATTATGTCTAGCTCTTTCGTTAATGTCTTAGTGCATTTTGTTTGTACCCTGTTTTTTATTCAATTTCTTGTAGGTATCAAATCTTATTTCTAATCATCTCCTCTAGAAGCAGGGTAAATATTGTTAGGTATAGTTTTTGTCTTTGTACTAGGGTTCTTCAAAGTATAGTGACTTACTTTTTGCAGCCCTATAATCTGCTCTTAACTTTAGATATTTTAAATTGTTATCTCTCTTCAAACCTGTAATTTTAAAGTCTGAGAAACACCAATAAAAAAGATGTCTATAAAAAATTACTTGGTAATGATGTAAAATAAAGATAATTATTCTGAGCAGAAAATAACTCTGTTAGAAAATAATATTTTGGTATGCACTTTTTATCTAAATACCTACTTGTGTTCCATCAGATGTGCCTTTATTATTTTGAATAAAATTTTGATCTATTAATCTCAGTGTTTTGTTCATTGTTCCAAATTAATAAATTAGGTATTTAATTTGTCCTAAAAAAGTTATCTTTCACTACTCAGAAGCAGGAGAGAAGTGGTGACTATGGTAAAAACCAAAATGTTTAGTTTTTACCGCGAAGGTGGCCACGATATAACCTTCAATCAATTAATACCTACAGTAAGTTTCCAGCGTATCAGCTTTGGATGAAAAGAGATTTTTAAACTTGCATGTATTTTATTTGAATATTTCAGATGATCAACCAATGGGACAGTGGCACAATTTTTTTCTATGACAACTCGACAGTCAGCTCTTGATTGGTTGAAATTTGGTGAGCTTTTTTTCCTCCTAGAAATTATTTTTTGAACTTTCTGGTTTTTTCAACTTACTGCAAGTCTTGTAAAAATTCCTTGCCACTGCCCTATTCCGATCCTCAATTCAAATTCTCCTACTAGCATTACTTATGACTCGGATCCGTGTCTAGTCTGCGATAAACTCTTTTGTTGTTTTGTATGTATATATTGTAATATATTGAATAAATTTCTCTCTAAGACAAGTTTTTTTACTGGATCAGAAAAAAATGTAGGTTAAAATAATGAGTGCAAAGTTATGTGCAGTTCTAAATGAAATCCATGATTAACCTGTATTTAACACATAATTTTTTCGTTTTTCTTTTTTTTTCTTTATTAAATATATAGAGAACCACAAGATACATGTAATAACCCTATTTTAATTTTTTAAGAGTAATTGTTGCAAGCAGGGCTTTGTCAATCTTGGCATTCTGTGAAACAATGTCTCACCCCATAACTCAGTGCCATTGTCCATGGTGTAATAATACTATTTTAAAAATATTACCAAGATAGTCAGGATATTCTTGGTAATCATACCATCACAAAAATGTAATGAAAATTAAATCTATTTATTTTCACACAGTACCTATGTACTCTTACAAAAGTATAAATTTTAAAACATTTTTCTGACAATATTTTCACCAAAATTATAAAAATGCTCCCAGGTAATTACCAAAAATACTCGATAACTTCCTAACAAATTAACGAGTGCCATCAATGTTCTTATCAAAAACGTTCAAAAAATATCGTTGAAAATATTGTTAAATCCAGTAGGTATACTTCATGGTAACGTCCAAATAAGTATCTCAAGATAATATTTTCACGGAAATGCAGAAAATATCTTTAAACTAGGTACCTCCGAAGTATTTTCTGTTCATCTGGGGAGGCTCTTAAGTAAGGGTATGAGATCAAAATGTGTCAGGCAAATGTGGGTGGGTAAGAACTAAAGTACAGGTGGAAGTTTACACAGCCTCTTTATCAGTGCGGTATTTGGTGTGGACTCGCGGGAACTGGACGAACTGTCTCTGGTAGAGCTCATCCCCCGGGATTGGGCCAGGACTGCTTAGCGGGAACTGAATCAGTGAGAACTCCATTCGCAATCTGTAAATAATTACCAACATTAGTTTTCATTTATGTATGTTGCTTTAACTTTAACTATGCCCTAGTTCCCTTCAGTAATTCACAGTTTTTCTTAAGATATGGCAATCTCGGCCGTCAGATGAAAGGAAGTCGCTGTTCGGGGCTCCGCACAGTGGATCGAGTCAATTGGAGAGGTCGGACTTAAAATTTTTGATTGAAACTGAAAATTTTGTTGTTTCTTTCGTCACATTTTAAATTTCAAGGGGTGCCGGTAGCTGAAAATTTCACGAAGAAACCAATGGAACCACTTTTAGAACCTCAAAGTTCTGTATAAACGGAGTTACATGCGTTTAAAGTTTCCAAATTTTGTCCGACCTCTCCTATTGACTCGATCCACTGTGCGCTGCTTAGGTTCTCTTTCAAACGTTTACTTACAAAAGCGAATAATTAAAAATAAAATAATTAGATTTTTTAGTTCCAAGCAAAGCCCACCTGAGAAAGAAGGGTGGTCCAGAGAACGATGGAAGCCTAACTCTGCGAACAATTTTCGTAGAATGGAACATTTTTTTGGCACCTGTTACTTAGTTTCCAGAAAGAGTTGTGGCCGAAAATGTGAAAATTTTGGTCTTTTAATAGTGCATATACTATAGAAATTCTAAGTGGAACCTCAAATGTGCGATAATTGTCGATAGATTTACGCGTGGTCGTAGCATAGTTCACGGGCCGCAAATGATGTATGTTTCTCGAACAGATGATAAGTATTTGTGTTCTCTGGTATGTTTGTTGCGTGTGGCAAAATTGAAGGCGGGCCATAGATGGATGTTATTCCGTCTCCGTCGAAGCATAGGCAACGGATGCGGGACGACTCGTGCTCCTCGATAGATTTGCCTATTAGTTACTCTTCGTTACATTTTTCTCTCCTCTTTTTCATCATCGTTTTCCCCTTCTCTCATTTTAACGCCCTTTTCCTGGTGACGCACAGTGAATCGAGCCAAATGAGAGAGGTTGGACACAATTCGTAAACTTTAAAAGCTTAACTCCATTTATACACAATTTTGAGATTCTATAAGTGGTATATTGGTTTCCTCGTAAAATTTTTCAACTAAAAGCACCCCTTGAAAAAAATGTGACAAAATAAACATCAAAATTTGCAGTTTTAGTCAACAATTTCGTGTCCGACCTCTCTAATTGACTCGGTCCACTGTGTGGCGCCCAGTCCAGCCGCTCCTCATGTCCCACTCTTATTCCCGAAATCCCGCCTTGAACTCGCCTTTAAGTACCTACCTTACTGTACCTTAGGTACACAACTTTCTCGTTATTATCGTGCGAGTTGCCTACCCTCCAATTTCAAGGAGCCCTGCATTTCTGAGGATCGAATATCATCCGAAAATTGCAACTTTAGTGAATCGTAACAGGTATATTAAGTTTTTTGCAAATTCTAAATAGGTACCTTATAGTTGAGGATTGGGTTGATTTATTTGAGAATTATTTGTCGGCAAGGCTATGGTCTTTCGGTCCCGTGCTTTTAGAGCAAATGATTAAAAGAGGAGTACTTACTTGCGCACCCAATGGCACAGAACGATTATGAAGATGAGTTGAACCATGATCGCGAACATACCGACTCCAAACATTATGTACATCGCCCATTCTCGATCCGTCTACAAAAATAAGTCATGCAAAAAATAAGTCATTCCGTTCAATATTATTTTTGAAAAACAAGCGTTAAGCAGTCAAAGGCATGCTTGATTAGATCTGTGGTTTTGCACAAATATGCAGGCACCTCAAGTCAATCTCATAGATTTTTTATTTTACCTATTTTATTTTATTTATTTACCGTCAAACGGGGCTACTTGGGACTACAGGCTAACATGGGACACTCGAGGGAATTTTCGCGTTGTTGTGTGTGGTAGCACTGTAATGTTTATTTTTGTTCTTCTGATGCCATAACCTCATTCTACATTACTCCGGCATGGCTGTTCATGACCAAGAAGAATTTTGAAACCCAAACAAGTATTTAAAAAAAAATATTTGTCTCTTTAATATTTTTTCGTCATATTTGAACACCGTTATACTTTCCTGGGGATCTCAGTACCTTTCCACCACATGCAAACTTCTTATATGTGAGTAAGTCACAAATGTGCCTCTGTTGATGGGGTCTGCTTCAGTTTTACAAAAATTTTCGTTTTCATCCCCAAAATTTCCAAAAAACCAAAAAACTAGGAATCGCTGGGTAACATGGGACACCCTATTTNTTTTTTTTTTGAAAAACGCATTTCTCGATAGAAATCAATTAATTGTTCTCTCAATGCAAACGATACACCAACATATGATAGTTTAACCGCCTAGATGACCATCTGGCCGAAACCCACCCCATGTTGGGGTGGTAGCGCGAAACGGATGGAAATCGAAACCCCCGACTTTGGTTTACCACAGCCGGTGGAACAAGACGCTTAAATTGTCATATCTTCGATAAGATTCGCCACTTTTTCTCCCGGAAGAACTACAAAAAAAGGGGAAAAAAAGAAAAAAAATTCAAACAATACTAATTAATTTTGAGACATTCGAAGCTCCAAAACTCTGAATTGAGATATTGGTGCCACTGTCAAAGGCAGTGTTGTTATGCGAGCATTCTGTCATGATAAGAAATTAACGCCCAAATTTCGGTTTTGTGAAACAAAACGTAAAGTTTCAATCTCCATCAATGCCTTCGTAGCAAAGTTTAGATCTAACTAATCTGAATGTATCTTATACTAGGAGCATCTGCTTAGAAAAGCTAGAACGCACGTACGATAATGCGTGAAATTGCAACCATCATTCCATTTCATGCAGGCACAGATTTAATCGCTAAATCGATAGACAACCAATAAAATTGATGGCAAAACACTCACCAATTTCGGGAACTCCATCGTGAGGTGCATAAAACGATCACCCAGCTGAGAGGCATACCGAAACTAGTAATGTTTGGCCAATATTCACAGAAGAGAGGTACCTACTGATAAGATACTCGGAAATAAGTCGTTGAGTTGCCGCAAGATACTAAACAGGCGTGTTCCGAATCGTCAATGAAGCGTCGTAATATCCTCTCGTCTTTGTTACTCTGTAAACATCACTGCTCTGCCTATGGATTCCTCCTCTTTATCTCCTGAGCTTTCAGTTATGTGCAAAGCTCGCGCTTTCGAAAAACGGAAATAAGATTGAGTCACGGAGGGGGGCACAGGAGACGAGTTCCAGTGCCGTTTATTTTCACACCTTTTGGATGTCACAACGAGGGATAAGAGGTTCACTCTTAAAACAACCTTAAAATAGAATGAATAAAAAAACAGACAGGAAAAAACTGCTCCCGGAAGTAAGGGTCTACGCTACTGTGCGAAGGGAAACGCCGTATGAACCTTCAGGCGTTGCCAAATTTCCTCTGATAAAAAAAATGAGCTCATTGGGAAAGTTGTAAATATTTTTTTCCAATTTTTCAGAAAATTTTGTTCGCAATTCAATCTAAAATATCTGAAAATGTTTAGGAAAAATATGCATAACTTTCTTCAAAAATAAATTTTTATCGGGGGAAATAATGTGGCAACATGCGAATATTCATACGGCGTTCTTCCGTAGTACGGCAGTAGGTACGGTAAGAGGAATATGAATGAGAAAAAAAATTAAAAACTATCTATTTTCAATACCATATTGATGGTGAAACTACCAGACCACGTATCTCGGTTGGCGACGTCGCAGACTTCCTTTATTCTTTAAATAGAAAACTACTGAACGTCAAATCCTTGAAAACTTCCGTGATTTTTCTTCTGCGTGCAAAGATAACTCAGTAAAAATTTCAAGGAGTGATATTGATTTGATCTCTTTCAAAAAAAAAAAATGAAATGAGAGCCGAGATTTCTAAACACCACAAACGAGATATGTGGTCTGGCAGTCTCACCGTCGATATATTTTATTTGAAGATTCTATAAGTTTTAAATCTCAAAGCTTGTGAACGTTTACGAGAATATGAACTTTGGTGTACGTAAGTATGCGTTTCAAAGTTAAAAGTACTGGTTTCAAGAATCGTTCAGTCCTCTGGGCCGGATTTACTTACTTGCCGCCCATGGGCCGCCTGTATTTTGCCGCCCATGGGCCACCTGTATTTTGCCGCCCATGGGCCGCCTGTATTTTGCCGCCCCCTTCTCATTTGTTTTGAAACATCAATAAAAACCATCAAGTGAACGTGCCGGAGGGGGAGGGGTGCATAAAACGCGTTTACTTGTGTTGGGCACATTTTTTGCGAAATCCCTGTCAACACTACTGGCAAAAGTTCATAGAACTTGGCACAAAAATTAAGTTCCGTGAACCTATCTCTGTGTAGACAAAGCCTTCCATTTATATGAAAAAATTATGAAACAGCAAACATAAATGTGGTTTAATAATAATTTTAACTTCTGTCATCGCGTCGCGCTGACCGCACTGTGTTTGGCGCAATGCGTGAAGTATTCATGCAGTCTTGTAGGCGCTATGCATTCTACGCCGCCGTCGTCCCGCTGCTGACTGACCGCGCGGTCTTCGACGCAATGCGTGAAGTATTCATGCAGTCTTGCAGGCGCTATGCGTTCCACGCCGCCGCGCGCCGTCGCGTCGTCCCGCTGCTGACCGCGAGGTCTTTGACGCAATGCGTGAAGTATTCAGGCAGTCTTGTAGGCGCTGCTATGAGTGCTAAGTGTTAAATGCCGACCGCTGCGCCGCGCCGAGGGTTTCTCCTTTTCATCTCAAGTTCTCGTCATCATTGCTCTCTGCGCCGCGCCGCTCCAGGCCACATTGCGTGTTCGGTTTCTCTCTTGGTCTTAACTGGACTAATTAAAGGTGCTGTCTTTTGTATCATAGAAAGACGAAAAAATTAGATATAATGCTCTCGGGAAATGAGAGATTTTGTCACCATTTTTCGTCTGTAATTTTTTTTCTGAATCCGATTTTTCTTTATAGCTACGTTCAAAAAAATTGCAAAATTTGCCGCCATGGGCCGCGGCCCACGAAGCCACCCCCTTAATCCGGCCCTGATACAATTATTGCCACTCATTATAATGCCGCAATCACACGCTGAATTTAGCAGCGGAATGTGGAAGTCAACAGTCATCGCCCAACGGCTGAAATTTCGCAAATTCGAGTTATTTTCATCCAGATGTGTGTCAAATCTACTCAAATAGTTCAGACAAATCCAACATTCGTCCGATGGTTGCTGAGAATCGTTGCTGAATTTTGCGCGTCACGCGCAAAATTCAGGCATCAGGCCGATGACTTCCACATGAAAGCCACATTCAGCTCCCACATTCAGCGTGTGATTGCCAGTGATTGCGGCATGACAAAAAATCGTTCGGTCCGTTGCCAGTTTGTTCAGAGAGAGAAAGAGTGCCGTATTACCATGGCTCGTGCTGTAATGTACAGGTACAGAGCAATTATGTTGCCCATCTCTATGAATGAACATTGAAGAACTAGGTCCAATATATTATATCCCTTTGGATTGGAATTTTCCATTTTATTGAGATCCACCAACTGCAATAAGATATTTTTGTAGTGATGTAAATATGCTGAAACTGGCAAACCACCTACCCCAATGCGGTGATATTTAAAAATATTTCTCTGCATTTCATAACTTTTCCAAGGGAGAATTGGCAGATATTGCTCCATTTAATTTTATGAGGGTATTCTTGACAAGGTGAGGAAAAATTGCATAATAATGATCAGTCATCCTTTAAAATGTAAGATATAAAATTAAATTTTCAATGCAGCAAACCAAAATTTTGCTTTTGAAGCGAAATTTCGACAGTGTAAGTCAGCAACCACATAACTTGGTTTGCGATGTCGCAGACTTCCTGTCATCCTTCATTTTTTAAACGGGAAACTACTCAGCGGCAACTCTTAAAAACAGCCGTGATTTTTCTTCTCAGTGCGAAAAAAATTCTGCAAAAACTTCAAGGAATGATGTCAATTTGTTATCCTTTAAAAAAATAACATAGAGGCGGAGATTTTCAGACACTGCAAACAAGTTATGTGATTGCCGACTTACACCGTCGATTTGTTTTACTTGTTTTATCATCAATAGGTCCTTCACCTAACATTTTAAATAGTTGAAAACTACATTACATGCATCAATACTATGCCCAAGATTGGAATACTGCTTCTCTCAGCGAAAAAATATAGCCTTGTAAACAGAATACATAAATCAATACAAGAATCATTTAGTTACAATTATTCTCATCAATGTAAGAATCTTCCAGTTTAATCAACAGAGGGGATAAATCTTTGACAACATGAGTCACCATTGACTGAGCAACTAGGAGCCATTATATACTTGGATAATCTATACTCAACTTTTTCTAAATCATTAAAATTCATCCAAGAAGAAATCTCATGAGCTTTGAATATACTATGGAAATTTCATTGAAAATATTGTTTACTTTTCTCTTGAAAAAGTAAAGCAAGCTCGAAAATTTTGAAAAATTGCTACCGAGACACTTGTAAATAAGTTTACACCTTAAGAGGGCACACACAGGGACATTAAGTCATAGTAAATTTGTCAAACATAGCATTTTTAATTATGTAGAAGAGTCATATTTAACAGAAAATTAGATGTGTTAAAGTGATAAAATGAATTTGAAACTGTCTGAGGTAAAATTTTGATTGTATGAGAAAAACAAACATGATCAAAAAAATGATAAAAAACTACAATTTGTTGAAGAAAAATATTGAAACAAAAAAAAGCATATTTAGCTATCGAATAATGCATCATTGAAGAAAAGAGGAGAAGAGATTGCCAAGTCCCTTACATTAGAAAAATTACCTTATGAGAAAAGCTAGCAGTAGAAGTATTTAGAAGTATTTCAGCATCACTGCAAAGTCCTCCTCCACTCCACTGAGCAAATTTTTACCCCTCCACAAGCATCTTAAATGATGCAACTACTATCCTCTTAAATAAAAACCTGGTGCTCCAGTAAGTGGGTGGTGTCTCCATAGTTGAGATACGCACACCTGATTTCTTTGGATTGTTGAGATCTATCCCATGGTTTGAGAAGAATACAAGTAGCTCCATGGATTGAAAAAGGTAAGAGCTGAACATGATATACATAATTACTGAGTTTGTGTGCATGAGATCTATGTATGTTTTGGAGAATAACAGGTGTTACCTATTTTGAGACAAAAAACTCTTACATCTAAAGACTTGAGTGGAATAGAAAGTAGGGGAGTAGGATTTTAAAAAATTGAATTAATGCATCCAAAAACAACCTGCAAAACAACACTTATAGGGAAAGAACGGATAATAATTAGTTGAAAAAAGTGCTATCAATGACAGTAAAATGTTATGAGGGCATATTGAGAGGTCCCTAAAGAATGACCAACACTTAGGACATGAAAAATTTCAAGCTTTTTTAAATAAGAAATGGGAAGGCAAGTTAAAGTCCAAAAACGGGTAGTCATTGGAAGAACTGCTATTCAATCTTGCTGACCTTAAGGAAACTCAAAAGTAAGTGAAAAAGTTGAGTTTTAAAAATCACTTTTTAGCATTTAAAAAAGTTACCTGATTTTTTAAAGATAACTGACTCCCACTGTCAGCAATTCAATTATTGCCATTCCTACTGTTGCCAAAAAGATAGAGAGAAATTCCTTTTCTAATATTCTTGAGCAACCACAGAAAAAGTGACAATGGCATCAAAAACCTCAAAATCGAATTTTTTATACAAGGTCCCTCTCCCTTGGGAAAGTCACATTTGAACTAAATTTTGCGATCAGGAACTAAAATGTCCAACTTACTTTAGAAGAAACGCATGTGACATTAGTTTCCATATGCAGGTAAGTGCTTTAACAAATGAGTCAGATATTGCAGTTGCTATTTGCAAAAAGTAGTTACTTTAATGTTTGACGGTATGGTGCAACATAATAAACTCAATGAGTGTTAGTTTACCTACTCTAGGATAGGTATGTTTCCAAGGTTTCAATAGAAATTTTAATACGGTGATGTAGGTATCAATATGTACATTCAAGACAAGTAACAACTGGTCACTCAAAAGTTGCATTAGTTGAAGGTTTAAAACTTGGGAAGTTTCATCGTTTTAAGGTGCTGGGTGTGTAGGAGCAAGATGAGAAATCCTACAGTAACACCACAAAAATGACATGCCCAGAAAAAGTGAGCGAATGACATGAAAGCCAATGGGAAAGGGGAAATAAAGATATAAGAGCTTAAAAAAGGCTGAGGCGAGAACACTAAACCTTTTTGTAGTTTCCGACTTTTTTTCAGGCATTCAACTAGTGCTCACCATGACAGGATAAATATGTAGTTACAGGATAAATCAAAGAACATAAACACACATGCTGAGGCTGTAGGGCTCACATTATGAGATAACTATTAAAGTTCAAAGACAGAAAATTTGTAGTTCGTAAATTGTGATTGTACAGAAAAGTATCTTACAATAAAATTTGTCACCTTTGAGTACTCGAGTAATCTAATTGGCAAAAAAGAAAAATAGTACAGTCAAATTTACTATCTACATTGTCGAGTCATTTGCTCAAACCGAAGGTATGCTCGGAGATGCACTCACGCACAATTTTCATCGCTGAAAGGATATCAAGTGAGAAAGATGAAAGGAACAAAAAGAGAGGATTTGTACTCCTTGAGATGAGAGACTAAATTAATTTCACACAGGAAGAAAAAGGATTGTTTCTTTGGAGAACTCCTGATTCCACTTTATACTTTTGATGTCCTTTGAGAGCTTTGGTCTGACCCATGTGCTGTTTTACCTCTACCTCCTCGTTTTGTTTTGCTTTTTTTGGCGTTGCTTCGTTGAACTTGCGTTTCCCTCTTGTCTCCTCCAGTCAGGTCTAAGCCCATCTCTACTTCTGTCCCTGAGGGAGTGTACTGAAACAAAAAATGACAGGAGTCTCACTTAGAAATTAGGATTAGCTTGAGGTATTTGGTCCAAGTCTAGATAAATATACAAGGGTCATCTGTAAGTAAAGTAAGATTCCCTACCTCCCAAATGAAAAAAGTTAATCCAAATCGGTAAAAACATATGTGATAGGTATACCTTCAGCTTTAGAGAAAGCCCAAAGTTTTGAGATTCAGTCAAAGGATTGGTAAGGAAACTCAATTTAACTGAGATTTGAGTAATAAATATAAAAAAGAAATAATAGCAATTAGAGTTGGCCTAGATACCCGGCAATTATACTGAATGCTGAATTATCCCACCATATACCAGATATCCAGCTGAAGTGTGAAAATGACGTCATAGGCACAAGAGAAGAAATTTTAGGTTTGGAACAAAAGTAAATTGCTTTCCAAAAATACATTAAACTCAAGTGGGAGGAGAGTGCCATGTTAATCATGTTGAGTCCTGTCTGAATGTGTGTGTGATCCTAACCTGTAATGAAGTGGAGCCGCTGGTTTGAGGTAGCATTTTATTAGCCTTCGGCTGTCGCCCCGATAAGGAACCAGGAGTTGATAAAATAACTCTAAGTACATTGCCAACTGCTTTGGTGCGGCCTTCTCGAAAAACAAGCCTCTGTCCTGGTCGTAGATATTCAGGATGCTTGATGAACCGAAAATGAACCAGGGCTTTGTCACCTGTTCTCAAACATTCTTCCGACATACTTAAAATGGATGCCGTTTGCCTGATACTCCCGCAGTGCACTGTCCGGATTAAAAAACAAAAACAGAAAATGAGATCAACAAAATGAGAGGGTATAAGGAAAGGAATGTGCTAATCTAAAAACAACAAAATGGGAATTTACAGTCTTCATACTTCTGCACCCAATGGCTCAAAATAAGGACACTGTGACTCAGTGCAAGTAGCACTCCTAAATTCAAGCTTTATATTCCTTGGATGGGGGAGGGGGGGAGCACATGAACAAATCCAATTATCATTTCAAGTTTTGGTATACTTAAAAATTATTCACCACAGAACTGGAGGGTGTCCGAGTCTATTCTACCGTGCAACGTAAAAACGCAGTTAACGTCATTATCAATGTTTTTGGAAACAATGTATCATAGCAGAAAACTTGTTTACCTTGGCACAACGTTTTTACAGAATTCTTGTACAATTACTATCAAGAACTTAGCCTAAAAATTTGAGGTGCATGAGTAAAACTGTTTTATTTTATAAAGTGTCAAGTTCCAAAAAATGCAGCAAAATCTTGATGGATTTACGGCGTTCTTGCTTGGCATGGCAGTATTTTTCAAGGATGCAAAAAGTTCTATAATATCAGAGGCCTTTTGCAATGAGTCCCATAACTTTCATAATTTCCTCAAACTTCCTGGCGATGAAATTATGCTCAGTTGAATTTCTTAAAACTTTCCTCAGCTTTTTGCACAGTGTGAGCATTGACTGTACTCCTTGCAGAATACAAAGAGGAACAAGAATGTGAAATTAAAATCTGATCTCCACCTTATTCAGCTCTGTTAGAATAATTGATTTTATTTTGATGCAAGAAAATATTTTACACATTTTTAAAGTTCTAGATAATACCCCTCAGTTGTGAACAAACACACTGCCCCTTAAGCTGGATGCATGACATTTTCTCAGGACAAAGAGGCTTTAAATTACAGCAGTAATTATTCAGCAGTTTTTCACTATGGGCAGGGTAGTTGATTAGTAAGTACGTAGTAACAAAATACATGACAGAACGTTATTTGTGAGATTATTCATGATATGATGCCTGCACATTGTTGCACTGTGTTCACCTGTTCCACCTGGTTATTGGATGCATATATATTTAGATACTGTTTCAAGCAAAGAAAACCTAGATCAAAGACAAGCAGATTCCAGATATTTTCATCTGCATTATTAATGATTTAACTTGCTGGACAATAGAATGTTTTTTGATGGGAGTAGATCTTGAATGACACTGAAGAACAAGGCCTTAGCCAGTGTGAGTGTTCATTTATTATTACTGCTCAAACCTCCTAATAAATTCAAGACTAATAATAATGATAAAAAATTTAAAAAAAAAAAGTATAACTTACCCATAGCTTGATAGTGAGAGCTAATTGTGGTGGGGTGATGAAGAACCAGGATTTCTCCTTCGAATTCCCAACACGCAACAGGATTTAGTGCTGGAGACACCATAACCATGCCTTTCCGAATCTGTGACCTTTTGATCTAAAATGAGGAGATAACAAGCAAAAAATAATATGTAGATGGCAAAATGCATTAAAGATCACTGTAAAGTGCTTCCCCTTGACATTGATGGGAACTTCTGCTTTAAATATCTCAAGTTTGAAAAAGCGCAAGAATGAAGAACAGGAATACCGGAAGAAAAAGTGGAGATGGTACTGACCGTACAAAATTGTATAAGTAGAAAACGGCAAAATTTACTTGTCTTATTTTTAAATCAATGATGGAATACAAAGAGAACAAACCTACATTTTAATGTTTCAAACCTTCAGATCTAACTCTGTATATAAAATCAACGAAAATAAAATAGTTCCAATATTATGTAAGAGATGTGAATATTGGCAAAGCGAGGTTAGAGAGTTCTTCTCAGAGGTTCAGAATGTATTAACACGAATAACTTAACTTCTCTTGTTACAACACACATTTTGAAAGTAACTGAACGGGTTTTCCCTTAAATTTTCTAAGTAGAGGGAACAGTCCGAGCTTGTTGGTGTTGACGAATTTAGTTCGAACTCTTACAAAGGTCTTTATAGATCATATGAAACATTTTTTCCCTCTAGGACAAAAAAAAGTTTGCACCAACTTGCTGACCAATTATTCAAATAAGCTAGACCTTCAAGCTTGGTTTATTCTTCTATGGCATAGTGTTGCGAATTCGTAACAACATATTTGCAGGGTTTTTAAAAACCAAGTTTTTCCCCTGTGCCATGAGTTTACAGAATTTCATTAATTTTTTCTTTTTTGGAGAAAGTGATTCCCTTAACTTTAAAATTTTGAAAAAAAATTTGATACTCTATTTTTTTATACAGGCTACAAAATAGATTAGTGTCCCCTAGTATCTGAGATCCAACATTAATTCATGCCATAAAGGGTTAAGAGGGATGCATGCTAATAACTTTTTTATGTACTCAAAAGTGCTAATGATTTGCATTGGAAAAAGGGAAGACAAGTACCTTTTTCAGAGCAAATGAGGCTGTTTGACTGCCTCGCACCTCCCTCACAGCCATTCGCTTCCTATGTATGCTCTTAACTGCAATTGGTATGAACTGCCCAACTGGATCAGGTCCCAACATGAGTGTGTCGTTCAGTTTTATGGTGCCTTTGAGGCATGTTCCTGAGACAACCGTTCCTACACCCTGTGAGAAAATACAAAAAAGTCAACTATTATTAAATAACCTGGAGATAAAATGAAAAATAAAATAGCTCCAGTTATGGATCATACTACTCTAAGCACATTTCTTGAGCAGATATAAACTAATTTGATGAAAATCAAAAGGGGCTAACATTCTCTCAACTTATCACAGTCCTCAGCCTGATACTTTATTTGCTTGCTGACAAAGGCTTGCCTGAAAATCAATACTATCATATCTCCACAGAAAAATGCATGTTCAAAGAAGGAAAATTCACTTTTCTGCCCCAATTTTTTTAAGTGGCCACACAGGAAATACTAGATTCAAAGCTTTTTTAGATTGAAAAGTTAAAAATAATCTATCTAGGATATAAAACATCAGAAGTGCCAAAACTTTAACAATTGTTAACAATTACGCATTTTTTTTTTTTTGACCTCGGAAGAGGTATCACTTCTGGTATAAGTACTACTGACAGGCCACTGGCCAATGTCAGCAATACAATCTTACTTGCTTAAAATTAAACACTTAAAGTAAAATTAAAACTTGGAACATAACAAGAAAAATTTAAACACTGATAAAAACCGATAAATTGCATTCATAAAGAAATTAATCAATATTAAAAAAACGACCTGATGATGCGTGGCATGCATGTAACAACAGACTTTTGCATTGATTGGCACAGGTAACCTTACATTATAATATACCTTCTTGATTTCTTGAAATAATAAAAAGTATGCGATGAAAGTTGAATGAAATCTTTCCGTTTTTATGGAATGGCCAGCAATAAATTCTGTCATATTAGAAAAGTTATGGATGAAGTGGTGCGTCTAGTTCCAAAAGTGGCAATCTCCATTGCCCTGTCTAAAAATTTTGCAATCATATTGATTTTATGTGAGGAACAATAAAAAAGTCCAGCTGTTTTTAAAAAATGTTCTCTCTTAATGACAGAAAATTCACGAGAAAACATAAACATGTACTTTTTCCCGTTCTTTCACTTTTAAAATTATAATGATCGCACAATTTTTAGACAGAACAATGGCGATTGCCACTTTTGGATCTAGACGCTTCAAGTGCTTAGTAATGGTTTGAGCAAACCAACAGGATACTCACAGGAACAGAATAAGTGTCATCAATTTGGAACTCTGCTGGTTCGTCATCATGACTGAGCATCCTTGTTGTCAGGAGATTGAGAAACATTTTCAAAAGATTTAAATTCTCTCCGTTCACATTAGAAACTTGAAATATTGGACATAACCTGAAAGTTAAAAATCAAATGAAGAAAGAGACCCAGGTAGAAATAGTAAAATAAATCTGATGAACACGTTATTTACTAGATCAGTGCTTAGCAGAGAACGCCATCTGGGAAACTCAACAATGATAAGATACTCTTCATACTGAGGGAAATTTCTACTAGAATCAAAAGAAACTTCCAATGAATGATCGCAACAATAGATTTCTGGCTGTTTCAAAAAAAATTTCAATTATTTTAGGAAAAAATTCCTTTTAAAACAACTGTAGATCAACAGCCCCCCCCCCTTCCGCCAATGTCTGATAAAAAAATGTATGGATGGCCACAAAATGTCTTAATACTTTGCTAATAAAAGGAGACGTTATATTTTCAAGAACATGCTGGATGACATCACTCAATGGTGTTTACTATTACAGTTTTTTGCTGACCTTTTTTTAGGTCAACTAAGTGTAGATTAGAGATTCCAAGCTTTGTAGAGCTTCAGAAAATCTAAAGAGCAATTTTAAAAATGATGCTACTTCTAGAGCTCAGCTGCCGCCCATTGTCATGAATGCTTCGATAATATACTAGTGCTTCAGCTAAGCGTTCAAAGTTTTTTAGAATTCATGAATCACCACAGGGTAAAAAATACTGACCTTTCAGATACAAAATTTGTAGCACTAACTATTACATCGTCCGGAGTTTTGACCATAACAGGTACTTTCCGACATCCAGGTGATTTGAGAATCCTGACTAATAATTTGAGAGTTTCTTGAAGGACATTAACAGGACACATGTCAATCTTGGTGACAACCACAAATACTGGTACACTGAGGGCAAGGGCTAATCCCAAATGTTCTTTCGTCATCCCGACAACTCCAGCATTGGCACCCACCTGAAAAGGCAGAAAAAATTACCAGGTTACAGAATCCTCCGGCAAATTAAGAACATAACTGAAATTCTTGTATTTTGAGAAATATATTTTTTGAACATTAGAAATTACATTGACTGTTATGATTTATAAAAAAAATTAGACTGATAAACAATTGATCATGCTCATTTTCTGGGAAATGACTAAAAAAGGTTAGAATACCTAGGAAAGTTCTTAAGTCTGAAGAGTCTTTGATAATACCAAATGAAAGAAGCAGAGATATATTTAAAAGTGCTAGAATTGATTTAAAATTCTATTTGTTGCTCTCTTCAGAAATTTTAAAATTACTGTAGTCGAAACAAACTGATGCAGACCATGTAATTCACCAAAAAGCCATTTTCAAACAAGTAACAGTACCTAATTTTAATTCTAGCAACTGGTTTTGTAGTGTTTTTTCATCAAAGTCTACCATGACACCTAGATTTTGAGGAAAGATGACTTTTCAAACAGAAAATTATGTGTACTTTTCATTGTGCGTATGCTACTTTCTAGGGCTCTTTAGGAAATAAATGATCATACTTATTTATAGCGAGGATGTTTTACTGCTAAAAAAAGGACTGAAATTTACATTCGCAGCAGGGCTTGCCATTTACGCTGCCAAGACAAAACTAACACATTTCTTAGAAAGACAAAATATTCTGTCTCGATGAATTGGTGCACAATAAGATGCCAATAAGGTTAGTTAAATCAGAATGGCACATACCATTAACATTCCAAAGTCTGGCGCATGACCAGTCATTCCAAAAACGGTCGTTTTCAAGTAGCGCTCGTGTCCTGCAAGATCTATGAACGTGATGACTTTCGTTGATCTCTCACAAATTTTTACCCAATCTAAAGACCCATGCTCTGGCTTGTTGACTACATTCCCTGTGGAAATAATTTTAAAAAAAGAATTATATCAGTAAGTTGTGATTAACTTGAAGAAAAAGATGGGGGGAAAAAACCATGAAATGCAACGGGTGGTTTAATTTGCTCCAATAGAACCAAAACAAATTTATGAGATAGTAAACTTAGATGGTACCAATATGGTAGATAAGTACTGGTTCCACACTATACCTAACAAGTTGACTGTCTTATTGCGCTCGTAGGCCAGACACAGCCGTGTTCTCTCAGTGCAGCGTCGGATATGTGATGCAAAAATTGGTGAACTGATGCGTAACTGACACCAACTGCAAACCAAATTCGGACTAAAAATTGTTTCAGCCTGACTTGAGAGTTTTGTTAGTCGTTCACCAAAGCTTTCCATTTTCCTCTTTACTTTTGAGGCATGGCAGAAACAAACGCAAGCAACCTTGAAGTCAACATATTAAAATAAAAAGCAAATCTGTATTGTCTTAAATTTGGTGGACTCACCTAAACTATCGAAACCGAGGATGTCATTGCCGACAGAGGATGTTCTACCAGATTCCATTTCGTGTTTGTGTCGGAACAATTTCTGCCTTGCAAGACCTCTGCCATTGTCCAAATCTCCATGGGTTAAAACACCTAACAGTGTAGATTTGCCGGCATCTACGTTCCCGACGACAGCAACCCTACAACATGAAAATGTATTAAAGTTGAACAGAAGGAAAAACAAACGTGACCAATACTGTTTGATTCTTTTGACGATGAAAAAGTAAGAGACTGTTTATTGCACTCCAATCAAAGAAAAATTTTGTTTCTGTTTGATTAGTGATTGTTTTTCTTCTGCATCAATGGATGCCTCAAAACAAAGAAAGAAGACTTTTTGTGTCTGTTCCACAGACAAATACAATCAAATTTTTGTGAACAAGAAGGAAGGAGAGCAGAAAATTTTAGGATCAGAGGTTCTTAATGCCTGATTATTTTGAGAGGTTATTGAAAATTAGAATAGATTCATCCGATATTCAATATGATGCTAAAATAAAAGAGCCTTCACAAGTTATCTCCATCTTTTTCACTTTTATGTATGATGCAGGATCCTGAAGTTACTACAAGCCTGCAAAATGCAGCATAAGTTTTGGTGAAAAAATATTAGAAAGGGAGTTCTCTGAAAATGAATTGCTTCAATAGATTTTAGATTCATTTTGCGCCAAAATATTATAATCTGAAATTGGTTTTTCCTGATTATCTTTTCTCTAATTAATATTCCTCAAAGCTACATTTTAAGGGGTTGGACGTGGGTGAGTATCCAAACAAAGGTCTTTTTGAATCTGATGCATTTTAGAGAGGAAATGAGAAGAGGGGTGCTTATCGTGGAAAATTAGGCAACATTTCAAAAGTAGACTTACGAGAGGTAATCAATTTTCCTAGAGAAATGAGGAACACAACAAACCTGATTTCGAGAAAATCCTGAGACTCTAATCTCTTTCGGATGAGGAACTGGGCAAAAACCCCCTTTTCTCCTCTTCTTTGTCGCAAGAGAACACAATCTGCATCTAAAGTGGCAACCAAAGATTGGAGCGTGGCTACACTAGCATCATATTCATCAGGCGCTAACCCATTATCTCCACTATCTATAATAAATAGATAAAAACATCAATGTCAAAAACAATACACTGGCATACTTAAGAACGATGTCACAAAAAACATATTTAGACAAGTAAAGACTTCATCATTTCTTAGAGTCACGTTTGGAAATATTGTGGCATGAACATGGTGGATCAGAATTTTAAATAGGTATTCTTTCCTTGGAACTACGTCTTTTGAACTGAAAACTTCAAGCCGTCATAATTCTAGCTTAGAAATTTTGGGGTTTTCTCTGTTCAAAATGTTTGTAAAACTAACCTCAATGCTCTGGTATCAATAACTCAATTTTCAATTTTTTCAGATTGATGTGCCTTATCCTGTGGATAATCACTCAAGTAAGATTTAAATATGAATTTTTCAAAGTAGAGGGAAAAAAGTAGATGGTGAAACATACCTTCAGCTGCACCTACATCGTAGATGGTCTCACCCCTTCCATTTAGTAACCGCTCTTTGAGACGTTTTTGAAGCAAATCAAACTGTTCTTCGGTGGGACTTATGAGACACGTCTGAAAAAAGTAAAACACATGGCAAGAAAAATGTCAATTTCTTTATCAATATACATCAAAGAAAAAAGTGGTAGAACTTTTTGTGAAATGTGAAAAAATCTTCCACTAGATTCACTTACATTCCTCTTTCTGTGGAACTTTATCAGGGGAGAGAACCAATTTTAATAAAGTTTTCAAAATTTTGCAGCGGATAATTATTTCTAAAATTCACTTTTTTCAGGAATTTTTTCTAGGACGTTAAATTCCTAATTGATCATTTCATTTTCCACAAAAGCATTCTTAACAATTGAGAAAAATACCTAGCTTCAAGATTCATTTTCCTGGAAAAAATTAAAGCTACTTTTCAGCTATTTTTTTTTTTTGCTTGGCTTTGCGGTAAATTTTTTTCCAATACAGAAAAATCCCAAGATCAGACTCCTCAAAAGGGTTAAACGAGATCAGACGCCTCAGAAGGGTTCATCGAAATCAGACGGTTAATATCAGGATCAGAAACCTCATAAGGGTTAAACTATGGGAACTGGCAAGCCCCCAGGTTTAACACAATAGATTTATACTTTATTTGTATATCTATATCTTTTTCCTGCACACATGTGAGTAAGTTCCAAGTTCCTCGGTAGCCTGTATAATCATCTTTATTTAATATTTAATGACAATAGGTAAAATTCTCATGTGAGAAGTTCACAATAAAATGATACAAAAAATAAGGAAAAATCAACTTTATCCATACAGAATTAAATGTCATCAATTCTAAACAGTGGAATTATTCGCTCAGGTATCATATTTGCCTAGCCTAAGTTGCCTATCTTAAACTAAAAATAAAAAAATCCATAGAATAAAAAATACAATTTTGATACCAAGTATTTCTTTCTGTACCTAAAAAGAAAGTGAATTTTAAAATTTTTGTACTTTAAAATAATCTTCAACTTAATAAATACTTCATTTTCAGTATTCAGGTCCAAAAATTCAAGAATAAATTTTTCTCATGCAAATGCCCAGAAGTAATCTCAGAGATTTGAAACTTTTAAGGGTGAAATCTCAATGTCACAAACCAATATTTGAGGCATTTGCAAGCGCAAATTGCACCAGCAGACATATGATGTTAAATTTAAGTGTAAAGTTACCTACTGAGTGTGGTTAGGTACCAAAGAATATCATAATTTCTTATAATTCACTCACCTTTCCCTTAATTGCATCGTACTCATTAGTGATGGGTTTGCTTAAGTTTTCAGGAATATTGAAAATAGTGTTTGCTCTCTCCGCAGTGGTTGGCGTTTGATCTGGGATATCCGCCATTCTGAAAAAGGGAAATACCTTATGTGATAGGTACCAAAAACAAAAAAATCTGGATGTAAAAATACCTCTTCTTAATATTTTTTTTCTTTCGTGAAATGACAAAAAGATAGAAAAAAAGAGTAAAAAAATGTGTGTCCTTACCTTGTTGTTTTTTGTAAGTTGATCCGATTGTCAATTGTTCACTGTCTGATTTTAACACTTTGTCATTTTCTGGAAATGAGAGAAAAATTTCAGGGACAAAGTAAAAAGAAATAGGTACGATGAAAGAAATAAACTGACAATCATTGATCATGACTATGGTGCCCCTTTGGAAGCTGCGTTTGAAAAATATTTGACCAGGAATTTTATTTTTCCCAGTTACATCATGATTAAAAGTTTTGAGCAAGACTTTTTTTTTACTTGGACATAGAATTTTTCAAAAACCACAAAATTTTACATACATAATCCAATTCCTGTTCTTTTCGCAAGGGTTTCAATGGTATTTCCGAAACTTAACAACTAAGTTTAAAAAAACTGTTTAAGTTCGAATATAATGGAGGTAACAGCCCACACCTTGCAGGAGACCAATACCCCCCCCCCCCACCACCACCCTTGCATTCAAAGCTTCACCTTATTCCTGAAAGTAATTTTGGTGATTGAAATTTGAAGGCATTTTACAAGATTCTTGGAAGTTTTGCTGTCCTCCCAGACAGCTAAACTTCTCCTGACAACTTTAGGCCCCTCTGGAATTTGGGTAAGATGAGTGTCCCTGTTGAGTTACGGTATGACATTTGCCGTGAATGTTGCATCATGTAGATTTCTGACGCCTTGGTGACATGCTCATGATAGAGATAAAAGTAACATTTTCCTGCAATGTTAAGTAAAACCTTGCTCGCCAAGTGTGCGATCATTTCCCAGTAATGAGCAAGTAGTAGTTGACTTTTTGAAACAAATGTAAACAACCCGGGGAGGGCTACCAATTTTAGAGTTACAACCACACAGAGGTGGTTATTCACATTTGGAGAGTCTGATAAAGGTTTTTGGCAAGTTTTGCACCACATCTTTGATTGACACATTGATAAATTGGTTCTATTCTATCGATAGGCGGTTATAATTTAAATTACTCCTTTCCCTCCGCCAAAACATGACAGGTTTGTGACTGACAACCCACTGAAGCGCGGGGAAACAGGACAGCTTATCATTTTAAGTGTAGTGCAAAAAACGAGCGTCCACTCAATAATAACACCTCCACTGAGGTGATAAAGCGTACATTTGTTGTTGAAAACCAGTGGTAAGTTTAGAATCATGAACATGACACTTACAAATGACAGAGCGATCGACAGAGTAGACTTGAGCTAAAGATGATTACGGTTGCAACGGAGATATAGATATTCCAACTTCAGGGAGCATAATTTGAAAGTTCAAAATTTTTCATGGATAGAACACTCAAAAACCAATATGGTACACCAAGTTTAAAATCAGTAAAGTTTAATAGTTCAATTGATGCCTACTGATTTGGATCCAATCCATTGGAAGCGAAAATGGAATTTTAAAAAAAATGAAACTTCGGACGGTTCACAAAAGATAGAGTGTCAGATAAGACGTCTAAGACGAAAAATCCCTTCAAAACACTGTGACTAAAAGTATTTTTCTCAAAATGAAAGTGACTGACGTGAAGGACTGGAAAAAGACGAGCCGGACAACGGGGCCAACGAATAAACAACAACAAACAGTTATCAACAGAGAAAGATAAGAAGGAAGTGATCCATTGATGGAAATAACCATCTTATTACGTCACTCGGTCTTTTTTGATAAGAAAGTTGTTTTACACGTCACTCAGGTACTTGACATTAGATGACGTAGAAAAGTTCAAAAGTTTTAATTGGCTACTCATGCGACTGTGTGACTGATAAGAACGCTCACGCCTCCTCTTGCATCATGGCGTGGTAGCTGAACGGGAAGTTTGCGTTAGTGTTAGTGTCGCAGCTATGTATCCTTGAAGTTTCTTGGAGAGCCAACCGAATCCAGCCCCTCAAGGTGATAGCAAATTTTATGACATTTTTTCGTTCTGTAATTTCATTGTTCGCGACGATCACTTCCGTCTGTAGTTCCAGTTCTAGTGTGGAGCCTTACGAACTCCCCAAATTATTACAATCCAAATTCTTTCTGTTAAATTCAAGTGTTCAGCACAGATGATGATGAGCAATTTTGTTTTCCCACCAAGTAAAAGTTAACCTAGGCTTATAAGGTGCCGAACTTTTAGTAAGTACTGTTTGATAACATTGATTTCAGAGCTTTTCTCATGGTTCACAGTATTTTGTTCTTTCCACTATTTGTTGTTTGTTACTTGAGTCAACTTAGGTGTTGTCTCACTCATTCAAACCTCAAGTGTTGAGTTATTTTTGTGAGCCTGCCCTTTCAGTTCACAAGGATGATTGAGTATTCACACATATGACAAATTTAATCCTATTTCAAATGAGCAGAGCAAGTACATGTGAAACCTTATCAGTGGTAGTCTCTAATCCCCTAGCATTATCTTTGGAAATCCAGATGAACTGCCTTAATAAGGCAGCCTTATTGCCAAATAGCAGTACCCTGACATCAGGTGGATAGCTGTCATTAAATGTCTGTTTCCTTATCGACAACTCATGAAAGTGAAACCAGTAAGGACCTACAACGAAAAACAGGAACCACAAGACGCCTCTGTTTATTTCAATTTTTGCATGTATACCACCCCTCTTTGGCTATCGAACATCATTGGCTTAGTAAAATCGTGCTATCTACACCCTTGAACCTCCTGTCTTGCGAAAACCATGTATGTGACGGTGTGAAGTTAAATATTGCCCCAGCATGTATGCAATGCTCAGCCTGAAGCTGTGAACTGGAAGGAAAAAGAAGGTCCTCTGAACCTTTACTTTCATTTTGTAACTTTCTTAAGGATAACGCACTTCGCAACTAATTTGGGTACTTGCATGGCCATCAATTGACACCGGCCCAGCTTAGATTGTCTCAAAGTATGGTGATACCTATTGGGGAAGGCTGTAATTTCTAACCAGAATTTTCATTCTTTCAAGTTTGCTTCTATTTAGAGTAATTTGGATTTTGTCTGCTTTTCGATGCCCCAAACTTCGAAAGGTACCAACTTTTTCAAAATCTGTGCAGAATAAGTTGATGCATTTTCACATTGAGACATGATCTACCATTTTAACTCTTGTACTTGCTCTCCCTGATAAAATGAATACAGTAGATCCTATGTTGCTCATGAAAATGTGAATATGTATCCCACATAGACCGTAACATAAGAAGGATGTACACTTTTAAGTTCCAAAAAAATTCTCCTCAAAATTCGCACTCTTATGCCCTCTTTTATGCTATTGGGAGCTCCTCACTAATTTCTTAGAGTGATACTTTTCTATGTCTTGTCGGTTTTCACTGAGTGTCAAGTTCTTGTACTTAGTGTCAAAAAGTAAATCTTGAATTTTCTTGTCCTGACAAAACTTTTGAGTATCTCATCTTGCACTCATACTTTTTCTTAGCAGAGCTCTAATTTTGTGCTAGATTTGTCAAGTGAACAGTCAGTATTTTCATGTTTGAAACCCTTGAGATCCCAGATCCCAAAGAGTTTTCATGTAAAAAACCTTGATTAGTGAGGGGAAAGTCAAGAGATTTTAAAATTTAAGGTAGCAAGTTGTCGCCTGTTCTGAAAAATTTTCCCAGCTTTAGTTCCTAATTTGAAAAGAATTTCTAGACACTTGGAGGTATAATCATACTCCTCTTCCAAAATAGAGGTAATGTTTACAACCTATAAAGGTTGTTTTAGCAGCACTAGATTTAGGATTTCCTATAGGTAAGCAATCTGTAGGTAGTGTAGGCCCCCCTGAACCTTCACTTCGGGGGAGGGGGGGGGTGACACTTGGATCCCCCCTCCCTCCTGAAAGGGGTCTGAAATTGTAACCTCTGTAAAATGTCTGTTGAAGGCAACTTCAGGCACTTTCTGCATCCATGATTATTATAGTCAGTATCTGAAAGTTCAATCCTATGTACTACTGCTTTCTTTAAATCAGACAAGGACTGGGTAAGGATTGGTAGCGTAATTGTTATTTTTAACAGAAATGTGAACTTAAAATTACCAACCATTTTTCCAGCTAGAACCCCTCCAGTCCCCTTTTCTTCCCTCCAATTGTATTGGACACTTAATTAGATGCCTAACTTGCCTTAATTTTTTATTCTTGCCTGGACGGCTTATTGTATGCAGATAAGTGTTTGGTTTAGAATTTTGCCATCACAGTCCCTACCATACGCATCCACATTTCTGCCATTGGTAAAGCCTTGTGTCTTGAAGCGCCAGCAAAAGTATTGAGTGGCAACTTGTATTCCCTCTTAGTATCTTATGATATCTGCAATTCTGCATAGCTCTTTTCCTTAGATAATTTTTTTGGAGGGAAGAGCAATTCTTAAGGAAACATTAGGGAATTTTGAATAGATAATGAAGACCACACTTGCATTTATTAAAATATAATTAATATAGGCGTTTTTTTAACTTTGTTTCAACCTCCCCTCCCCTCCTTCCCTAACATTTTTAATTAGACCTACAATCATCAGTAGTCAAAGTATGAAGGCGGTATATAGATGCATTCTCTGAATATTCTCAGAATCTACTCATTAGAAAATTCTGAAGGGTCAGCTTAGAAAATTCCTCAGAGACTTTTTGAGTGTATTCTGAGGATGTTTCTTGAACATTCACGATGAAATGTTCCTCAAACATTCTCTGAAGAATAGGTGTTCAGTGAAATTTTTCTAAGGTACATTCTCTTTTAAANGGGGGGGGGGGGGGGGGGCAGGGAGTTTGGTTTGGTTTGGTTTGGTTTGGTGTAAGCCTACCTGCTCACTCTTTTCTTTGAATTTTAATTCTGAAGTCCATGAACAAAGTAGAAATTAACTTTGCTCTCTTCTTATTTAGTTCATGGATAAAGTAGAAATTACCTTTGCTTTCTTGTCACAACTATATCTTGACACTAGTTTGTTTTTTCTTTCGAAAGTCTAGTGTTGGAAGCTGTAGCTCCACGAGAGATTGTCCAGTGAAAAGCTTTCTGTGTGTTGGTGTGAACTGAGACACCACCAATGTGAGTGGCTTGAGTTGGCCTCCTATCAAAATATTTCAGGCAGTTGTGCCAATTTATTTGATGCTGTCGTGTTAACCCTCTTTCAATTTTTAAAATTATTTTGTCACTCCTACCCATCTATCAAACTTTTCTTCAATCTACCTATATTTTCCAGTCCCCTGCCTCTCTATGTCTTCTTTTTTTTCTCTTATTCACTCTTTATCACTTGAATACAGTCAATACATTGAGCCATAGATCTTGACCTTACTCCTACACCCCACTACCTCTTGCAATTTTCAAGGTTTCAGAAAGGTATTTAGCTCTGTTTCACTAGAGACATCTCAAAGAAACAGGTTGCTGGCTGAAGCTAGGTAGGGCCCCAGTTTCTTTCCCTTTCACTTTAAATCCCTTAATCTTTCTGGGAAATTCTTACATTTATTGTGGTTTTAATTCATTGATAAAATATTCTTCAATCTCTCCATGAAAACATTGACACTTCAACAATTTTCTTAGGAGCTAGCAGTCCCCTAACCCCCCCCCTCCCCCTCTAAAAATTTCCTCCACCTGTTTTACCAGCAGCCTGATTGTTGAAATTGTTTGTTTGTCGGGACGACATAGATGACATAGGTTAAAGGGCGGAGCGTGATTGGTCGGCTATGTCTTATCGCTGCTTTGTCGTGCCTATGTCGGGTTGACCTCTCGACAAGCTAACGGCACCTCTTAAGTTTCCGACAGTATGTCGATCATTCCGAGAGTATGTCGATCATTCCGACAGTATGTCGCTCATTCCACCCGACAAAGGCACGACAAAGCAGCGATAAGACATAGCCGACCAATCACGCTCCTTTTTTTAACCTATGTCATCTATGTCGCCCCGACAAACAAAAAATTTCAACAATCAGGCTGCAGGCATGAAATGGCTTATTCTCTCTTGAACTCGGGAATAGGTGGGTCTGGCAGTCTCAGGTCTCCTATCCTTGAAAGATGTTTTCTTTTTAAATTCTAAATGCTCTGGGGTGAAATTGGGTTGAAAATTTCATTAACCCTGAAACTTAAAGAATTGTTTTTTTCTCTCTCTCCTATTTTTTATAATCCCAGGACTTTTAGATGCTTAGAATTTTTATTATACCTGGCAATTGAAAAATATCAAACAAGAGTATTGCTCATTTTGCTACCTAATAGGTGTTAAAATTTGTGTTAAAAATTGGGTTTAAGAGTTTCACTTTTCAATTCGAAGATTTTTTGTAAAAAGACCATCTAGCCAAGCGGGTGAAGATGAAGAAACAGGAACTGTTTTGTATCTCTCACCCAGTGCTCCAAGCCCCCAGCCTCCGTTGTTTGAAATGCCCCCTAAAAATTGACCATAGTCTCCAAAAAATGAAAGTCCTGGTCAAACATGACCCCCAAAAATTCCTGCAATCCTAACTCTTCTGATCAATGATTTTTTTATCAATTGGCATGGAGCCGAACGTGTAGAACAAATTGCTCATCTTGCATATTACTTTTCTCTATTTGTGGTGGGATGTATGGTTAAAAATTGAAGTTGACTCCTACAAAATCTTCTAGGGCCCTCAGAAATTAAACCTTGTGGGCCCAAAGGACCTCAAACTTTAAGGTGAGTTTAAAAAGCTGCTCTCACGCAAACTTATCACTGAAAAATCCCAACCAAAAACTTGATAAACTTGATTTTTTGAGGTAATCATCCCAGTTTTTCTGTCCACCGGCCAGTTATTTATTTATCCGATCCGACAAGTCTATTTTTTACTAATGGGTCTTCCTTTGATTTACAGCACTCTGGAGACAGTCGAAGCATGACTCCAAAATGGCATTATTTCCTTCGCTGAGGGATGACAAAACATGCCAGTTCCATTGAAACTCAGAGACCCCTCTTTTTCGCCAGTTGTATCCACATCCATGACTCTGCACGGGAAACCGCCAAAGTATTCATATTCATCTGGATCTGATTTCAAACCCAGAGGTTCAGGAGCCATGTCCCGCAGTTCAAGTCTTCTTGCATCCCACTCAAGGTATGTACTTAGACACCTCATCTTAAATATGATTTCCTGTCATTAATTTTGAACAAAAAGTTCATCCAGTGGCTCAGGTTATCGATGGCAACTTTCATTATGAAGCTGGTTACATCATTAAATTGATTTTTCAAAAAAAAAATGACGTACATTTCTTGCATGAGTAACAGGTGGTACTTCGGGCGATAGGGGTCCAATATAATAATCGAGTGTTCCAGGCCCGGACTTCATGAGTAAGCGTACTCAATCTAACCCAAGATCTTAATTACCACCAATAAATAAATGCGCTCAAACAGACTTCCATTTAATTACTAACTGCTGCAGACATTGCTTAATATCCCTGTTGGATGCTTTTTCTCACCCTCTAAATCAATGAATAGAAGTAAGTTTGCCAAAGAATTTAGGTTCTTTTAGGATACGTATTTTCACGTAATAAAATGCTGGCCGACTCTTGACGGATTCTATGTACATTCCTGCTACTCTGGACACCTAGTCTACTGGAATTTGATCTTCAAAAGTTCATTTTCAAATTTAAAAATTCTGAATTGTGGAGGCAACATAATTGTAGGTATGGTTTTTTTTCTGCATTTCAAACAATATTGGGGCTTGTCTATTTGCAAAATCAGTTTGATGTTTAAACAACACGAGACATAAAAGTATAGATTTACAATTTATTGTTGGGTTTCTCAGGTATTCATATTTTTGGTCCGGCAATATTCAATCTCATCTTTTTTGTCTTATTTGAGTGTCATTAATTCAGAAAGACTTAACTTGGTAGAAATTATGTGGGAATAAGCATCTCATGGAAACTTGTAGAAAAGAAGACTTTTGAATCTAAATAAGGTAATCAAGGAATAGTTCATTTGTTCACTAATGGTGGATTCATGTTATGACCGGCAACCAAGATTGTCAGACAAATCTCATCGTTCAATTGAATTAAATCAAATAGTCCTATCAAATCGTTCAACTTTGCATTAACTCACCTAAATGTTGGAAAATAAACAGCTCCTCTCATTGTATTTAAGTATTAAAATTTTTCTGTTAACTTCAGGAAGTTGTGAGTCTCAGCATCGATCCATATGCCAGGTCACAGCACGACAGCACGAGGACTAAGATACAACATTAAATAATTAGTAAGCCATTGCATGGTGTTTTATGCTGCCGCATGTAACAGTTGGGAAGAGTCGTTCAAAGTCGGAAACAAAGCAGGACAGTAGGAAAGTTAGTTTCCATCCTTCTTTCCTATTAGTCGCTGCAATTTTGCATGATGTAAAATTTGTATGCAGGCAAGTACAAGCTGAGGATTCTGCACAGCGATAAATATATGGCTTGTGCTACTGCTGCATGCTGTCGTGCTGCTCCTGCCTATTTCTCGAGTGTTGTAGGAGGTATAAGTATCTGCTCTTAAGATGGGAGGTATATTTCAATTTACTGCCATCCTGGAGAAGTGAGTGTAAGGGTGTCTAAAAGCAGCGGCCTGATTATTAAAACTATGTTGGCACGACAAGACACAGCTCTATCTGAACCATGCAGTATTTTTTTTTTTCTTTGTGACAATTTTAGGAGCAACAATATACTTGACTTTGACTTCTCAGAATACCCTTTTGTGTAATTTATCTCGCATCCACGATAATTAAGCAAGCCCTCTAGTGTAATTTCTATTCCCAAGGTACCGTAAAACTTTGAAAAGTCAGTGAGTGATACCCAATCCATTCAGGCTTTCCATTTTTGTTCATTCAAAATGTATTCTTCATGGCTAAACAAAACGTGCTGTAGAGTAGTATGAGCTGAATGAGAGCGAAAGCTAGCAAGTCTCATTGCCAACAGCTTAAGCTCGGTGTTTTGCTCTCGTTTGTGTTGTGTGGTTATAAGATGTTGAAAAATATCTGTGAAGCAAAGGAATCTAGTCTGCTGCATTTTCAGAGCATATGTTGTTATAAGACTTTCATCCAATTGTAAATTTAAATGTTGGTCTCGAAACGTAGTTCATAAATAAGCACGTGTCTAATATTTTGATTTGTCTTGTAAAAGAGTCATATTTTATGTTTTCTCAATTTTAAGGCATTTTTATTGCACGCTTATAAGTATTTTGTCAGTGTATCAGGGCTTTGGTAGGCTTTCCGTACATCATAGGGTGAAATGAATGTCTCCTCTTTTGATTGGAGGAGCCATTTTTGCATTATGTTACATTTCTTTGGTGTTGTTATGGAAATTTGCTCTGAACATCTGTATCCGTCCCAAGTAAATAATGGGAATATAAGTATAAGTCCGTAAAAAGTCATAGTAAATCTTTGAGATGCCTTCAAGGTATTTTTTGCAAAGCCAATCATGATGAACAAAGGGGGAACCACCAATTTGTAAATATAGGAACTTCTTATTCTAATCTAACATGTAAACATAGGCCTTCGGCCATAGTTCTGTTAAACTATGGTTCCAACTTGTAACCAAAATAATAAATCAAAGTTATCTTTAAAAAAAAAAAAAAAAAAAAAAAAAAAAAAAAATCATGATGAACAAAGACTGAGAGCCTGGCTGTACATTTGCCTCAGGATAATAAGCTTCTTTTAAATAAAGGGCAAAGCTGGTGAAATGTCTGCAATCTCTGCAGTAAGCAAGATCTATTCTTGAACATTTCTTAAGTTTAAAATTTTGAATTATTCACCTCTTGTAACTTTTGAAGGGAAAATACACGCACACTAAGACTTCAGCTGTAGACTTTTGGTTCCCAAAAATGTTTCCAAACGATCATGTCTGGTGACAATTCCTTTTCTTTCTCTTACTCCACTTTCAATGGCACATTACTTAAGTATTAATTATTGATTTCAAAACGCTGTTGCAGGTCCTACATTTCTCCAGCTCGCTCAGCATATTTTGGGCCATCTATCTTTGATGATGATTCATCTCGAGATGGGAGTGAATCAAGAGACACCTCATTTGCAAGTTCGCCATCTTACAACAGCTCTAGTTTGTCCCGCAACTTTTTAAGTGACAAATCAAGCTCGAAAGAACTAGGCTCATCGAATAATGCCTATCGCAGGAGCTCTCCCATTTCTGTCAATTTTGACGTTAATGATTTCATGAGCAAGTATTCCCCGGATAACTACGTACCAGGAACATATAGGTCCAAAGAAAAAGCCAGTTCCTCATTCAAATCTAATAACTCCGACGATTTGGAGGTCAGAGCATCAAGGGCAGTCATCCAGCCAAGGTATCCTCATTCGTTGGCTCCCATGTCATCCGCTCATGAGAATTTTTCATCATCAGCCAATTTCAATTCCAATTCAACCCTGGATCCTCTAGGGCCCAAAATGAAAGCAATGCATTTAACAGACGAAAATCACAACATGGTTGGCTACAGTATTACAAACGGAGAAGACAAATGCTACTCAGACTTGGTAAGAAATTGAAACAAACTATTTCTTTTAATGTTGTAATTTTTTTTCCAAATCATTGACAAATGCAGGATCATCTTGATAGAGAAACCAGGAATTGTCAAGAAATTTTAAAGGGAGTGCAAACTGAAAAATGCGTGGCAGAAAATTACAAGATCACCTTCATTCGTTTATTGAAGTGTGTATGACACACTTCAAATGACACAACTTCACTTTCATGTTTGGGTTTGGGAGTGGCGATTTTTAAAGATGCTGCATATATTCGGATCTTATGGAATTTCATCAAAATTTGTTAAGGGAGTTGGGAAGATGTCAGGAAATTTCATTTCCTTATTTCAGAGGGCAACCTGAGAATAAGTTGCTCAGCTATGGAATTTCAGTGAAACTGATCTGACTGGAAGATTTTGACATCCAAGGCATCGTTAAAATTCACCAGTGCTAACTAAGGAGAGCTTGCCATTGGTTTATGCAATCAAAATCAGTGGAAAATCTCTGAAAGACGGCTTGTCTTTCGAGGGAATATCTGCCAGAAACTTGTTTAAATGTATTTCTGAACACCCTCAGTAAAGTGAAAACCAAATGGTTTGAGTAAAAGCACACCCCTCCCCTCCTCTTTTACCCTAAGTCTAACTTCAAGTTGTATATACTCTGATGTGAAAGAGGAATTTGATAGACTAACTGGCAGGGTAAAAAAATGACAGTGAAATCCTAGACTAGACCTAACTCCTCTCGAAAGGCCATTTTTTGGGGATGGATTCTTCTTCCAGAAAAATCTCAAATTAAATAGGGAGGGAGAAGAGGTTTCCAGTCAGAAAAGGAGTAGTCTCTTAGTGCTTGTTTTACAGGACTAAAAAAATTACATCAAATAAGGACATTCTTACTCAAGAGAAATAATAGCCCACTTTGGAAAGCGCAAATGTTAACCTTGCTGCACCAAAGTTTCTGCCCAAACTTCAGTTTTTCCAAAGATGAAAAGGTATATTGTGCAGTAAAATTTTTACAGAACATTTTAAATCATCACAAAACAGTCCTGTGAAATTTTAAGAATTTTTTATGGTATTCCTGCATCAAAATGAAATATGGCAGGAAGTTAACAGCGTTGTAAACTTTTTTCTCCTCAACTTTGCATTTAGTAACTTGAGTGGTTTTACCATGACGCCCAAAATGCGTTATTTCTCATTGTGTATTATTTATTGACTCAATAGCACCACCATCCAAGTCTCATTTTGATGAGTGCAAATTTCTCAAATTTAGTTAAGGAGAGAGGGAAAGGAATATTTTTCAACAACTATGTATTATGATTTTGCAAGCATTCAATAATATCTGTCCTGACCCTGTATCGTGAAAGAAGAGAGACAGTGAAAACAAGTGATAATTTTTAATTTCTTCCAAATAGTCCATCTTCATGGAGTCTTGGAGCTCCCACTCATCGCTGGGTTTCTAAAAATAGCACCCTGTCTTGCCCCATTTTTTGCTATATCTCCGCTTTTTCCCCCTCTTTTCATCCTCTCTCTCCCTTGAGTTGGCTGCCTCTCAGTCTGCTTCTTAACTCATCTATCTATCATTCATGTTTCTTCTTCTCAACTCCTCATCTCTTTTACTCTCAAATATTTTAGTTTCTCAAACAAATGCAGATGGATTATGTCTCACAGCTAAATTAAACTCTCTTAATCTTGTTTTTCCAGTCCTGCATTCTAAACAAGTTTTTAGAATACATTTGATGCATTTAAGTAATTCTAAATTTGTGATACATAACCGAACCCTCCTCCACAAGTTCTTGTTTATGAATGATTTATGTTTCAAGGTCTAAAATTTTTTCAAATTAAATTATGTGATCACCCATTTTCTTTCAAAGTGAACTTCATTAGCTCCAAATTTTTACCGTGGCACAGTGTGGAGTATGATGTATATAGCACTCGATTTATCCTGCTGTTGGTCCTTATTCTCACCCTCTTAGGAACTGTAAAAAAATTTAACGCCTTTAAAAAATTTGCTCCGCTCGATAATACCTACCATCCTAGTTTGAACGTCCAGAACAATGCAGTATCCCAATATTTTCAAGCTAAAAACTCGCGCTGTAACTGTGATTGGAAACTTTTCAATCAGAAGGTTTGTGAATTTTTGCTCTTCAAAAATTAATGCGATTCAATGGATCCAATGCCTTTTCAATGTCTGTGTTAAAGCCTTGCAAAAAGAGTAAAATAAAGTTAAGCTCATCCACCTCTTTTGTTTTTTAACCATAAACCGTGATTGATTTTGATCCCAATATAAGTACAGCTCCTTTGAAAAACTCTCAATGAGCAATAATTCTTTTCAAAAACTGTTAATTTTCCTCGGGCCTTGAAGTACATCAATAGTGTCATCCTTAAAGGTTAAAAATTCCTCTTTTTATGTGTATCTGTGATACTTTTATAGGCACAATTTACCCTATGACCAATTCAAACTCTGCTTATCCCTATAACCCACTCATAAAAACCTGAAATGAATTTCTTTCAGTTCATCTTCATTATTTGAGAAGTGTGAATCGAAATACATCATTGTTCGCCTTTTACAGCTGATAATTTCACTTTTAAATTACAGGCCAACAGTGGATCAAGGAATAAAAAGTGTTACAATTGCCCAAGTCCTGCCAAAGATACAGCAGAAAGAGCTGTTGTCAAAGGCCTTCGGAATGTCGGAAATACGGTTGGTATTAATTTATTTTTTTTTCTTTTTGTTAAAATAGACGATGGTCCTTTTTAATGGACCATATTCCAAAAGGGTGAGAGTAGTGAAGTGAATGTGTAAAATCGAGTCTTCTCATGGTGTACTCCACTCTGGTGGGAGAGTATGCATTATTCGATTAATGTAATTCTTAGGGCCCAAAAGGGCGACAACATGTAAAACAAAAATCACTAGAAAAGTGCGGCTGCTAACCCATGCATTTGATCGATTAATCAGTATGGCCGACAGCGCATTGTAAACAAGCATCCATAAGGATTAAGACTTTGAAACTGAGAAAATGTGTGCGAAAACCAAGTTTTATAGGCGCTTTTATAATTTTTGATCAGTGTACCTACGACGGGTAGTAAGTATTGTGAAAGTTAGTACCACTGGATAATTTGAGTCCATAGGTTGGCTGCTCTTTTGGGTCCCAAGAGCTACATGACTTGATCAAAACTGACCTCCAAATTTTCGAGTTGTCCATACTCTCCATATAAAGGTTCTCTACTTCATGTTAACTACATTCATGCTGTTGGATCCTCATTCAAACAATGGAGAAATTGCTGGTCTGGAATTCGATGAATCTTATTCATAAATGAAAACCACTGAGTATCAGAGGATACTTTATTGGTGTGGTTATGTCAGAATGATCTCATATGTTGAAGTACAAGTCTGTAAATGGTAAATGTTGATCTTTATCCTACGAAGAACAGGTCGGTACATCAAAGCATAATGTAAAAAATTATTTAAATCTTTCACTCTTTTTATTGTTAAAGTCCACATGGTTTGAATTTTACAAGAATAAAGCCTTCAACTGAAAACTCAATTCAAGCAGTAAAATTTTCAGAGATCTGTGTAAACAAGGGTTAAAAAAACAGATATTACGCACCATTAGACTCACTTGCGCATGAATTTTATAACAGGCGGACGTGTTTCGCCAGCTACCACTCTGGCATCCTCAGCACAGCTTAGTTGTGGTGTCGCACCAGAGACCTGTCAAGCTTGTAATATCCATCACATTTTTCTAAAGTGTTCATTTACTAACAGTTGTTTTGTTTTTTTGCAGTGTTTCATGAACTCAGTCTTGCAATGTTTAAACCGAACCCCTCCACTAGTGTCGTACATTCTAAATCATGAATACATCAATGACCTCACCAATTCTAAATGTGCTGATTTATTTAGAGGTACTATGACAACTCTTATTTCTCTATTTAACTCAAAATTTGAGCATTCAAATCATTCACAAGCAGTTAGCTATTTGTAGTTAATTATTCACAGTTTTATTATTACTAACTTCTTGTCGGTAGGAGACAATATGTGCAAGGGTCAAGACTCAATATAAGAGCATGTTTTTTCTTTTGAGGTATTGGTTCTTTTATCATGAAGAAAATTTTATTCCCAAATTGCATTTTCAACCAACCACTTTGCACACCTAGTTGAGTTATTGTTCAAGCCTACTTATAAAGTTGCCAATAAAATTTCATTAGAAAATCTATTTTTCCATTACCTCCATACCTTTAAGGGCTTGAGTAAAAATGAAGTCGTGCCATTTTTTTACTGAAAAATTATCTGCCTTTCGTCCAAGATTTTTCAGCCAACTTTCTAGTCCTCGTCGGTAAAGAATTGACTTGAAAACCCATAGCATCCATAATATTACTCTTCCTTTGCAATTTTGTAATAGTTCCTCAGTATGATATCAAATTCAATGAAGTTCATAGACAATAAAAACTGTTCATTATAGGCCTGCTCCCCTAACTATCTTTGTTGCCCTTTCACTTTACAGCTTTTGCAGAGCTGATAGAGAAAATGAATGACAACATTTCTCGGTCTCCAATTTCTGCTCAGTCATTCAAGAATGAACTTCAGCAGTATGCCAGACAGTTTGTCGGGCGCAACCAGCATGATGCTCAAGAATTTTTACGATATCTTTTGCAAGGCTTGCATGAAGCTATCAATCAGGGGCAGAAAAAAATCACATCAGCTAAAAACTTAGATGATTTAAGGTGAGAATTTAATTTAGTTCTATGGTCAAAAGGGAAGTTACTCCTACTTTTTTTTTTTTTTAACCAAATGGAATTTTTTGAAATTGGGTATCCTAGAGAATTTGAAAAATAAAACCTTGTGTGCGTTTTTGAAAGTGGCTAGAGAGAAAATACTGAAAGTTTTCAACATTGTCATGGTAAGTCACATAATGTGCACATTTAGTCCATTCTTGCAAGTGAAACAAAGTTAAAAACATGCTGGGGTGCAAATTGTTCTCGGCGGCAGTTGCAACCAAATTTAAGAGACTAAGAGAAAGAATTTTTTTTTTTTTTCGGTTTTCAGATTTTTAACTTCTGTGAAATAGTGCAAATTTGGCACACCTCCTAAAATTATCTCAAAATTATCAAAGAATTTGCCAAATTTTTGATCTGTGCATGCATTGTGTTGACCTTTTTGCGAAAATCTCGTTCGTTGGAGAAAATTGCGAAGTCCTCCTAGAGAATTGCGGAAGCCTAGGACAACTCCCCCCCCCCCTCCTGGAAAAATGAATCTTTTTGGTAGAGAGAGCAATGTATTCTAGAAAGCATGAAGAGACGAAAATTGTTTAGGTCACTAGTACTAAGCGCGGTGATGATGCCGTGCGTCATGAAATTATAAAGCTTGCCACACTCAAATGTCTAAAAACAACCTATCCAAGTGGTGTGGTGTGTAGTTTTCTATGGATGTTATATTTATTGAAAAGCATCCACCTATTGTAAGCTAAAACTGAAAGCCGCCTAAAGTAATTTGTAAGGACCATCTACCAACAAGCATCAATTAGAAGTAACTAATTTTTCCCCCTCTTCTGTTGCAGCGAATCGGAAAAAGCGGAAGAGTCTTGGCGCCAATACAATATTTTAGAACGAAGCAAAATTATTGACTTTTTTGTCGGTCAGATGAAATCTAGTCTGAAATGCACTGTCTGCGACAAGTGCTCAAATACCTATGAAATTTTTTGGGATGTTTCCCTACCATTACCTGAATTGAGTAGCCGGACCACTTTACGAGATTGCCTCACTGAATTCACAAAAGAAGAAGTTCTAGATGGGAAAAACATGCCGGTCAGTGACAATTATTAAACTCTATTTGCTTTCAAAACACATGTATTTAAGTAACATTTTTAAACATTGCAAGTTATAATCTGGACAGAAATGTTTCAGTTGCGGTGGTCCTGTGATCTTTTGTTGACAGTCAGATGTTACTAAACAGTATCCATGTGCAGCTAAGTCTCACCTCTTTAAAATCAATGTAGATTGGTCCTCTTCGCCCAGTGCTATTGAATAAATGCCGATGAAATAACAGAAATCTATGAGACATATCCAGTTGACAAGTTTCTATGTCCAATCTTTATGTGATGGATGGGTGCACTTACTTTTCAGTCACCCAAATTTTTGGCCAATTGTCCACGTATAAATGTAAGATTTATACTTGGTTATTGGATATCCATTGAAGTGTCTATTCTTACTCATACTTCAGTAACATAACCCAGCTATATCCTTCCGTTAGTATAATCAAATCAGCAGAAGTAGGAAAAAACTATTGAAATTTTTTTTGCTTAAACGTGTCAAATGAATCAGCATTTTGCAGAGCTAACTGTGTCATCGTCTCCTTGCATGGCCTTGTTGCTGTCCTTGATGGAAGATGCACCTTAGATTTGGTGAACACTTGACCTACCCTGTCGTTATAATTAGTGTTGAAAAAACATAAATAAAAATATCGTTGAACCTCAGTAAGTCCTAGTGTGCATCTGGCTCGTTGGTTCAGTCCAACTTAGCAGGGTGCCCATTGCCCAAGTCAAGCGAACTTCCTATTATTCACTCCTCAATTTTAAATTTTGCACCCTAAATGCGTCAGAATTACTCCACATTATGACAGGACGTCTTGCCTCTCATGATTGCAACCGACACCATAGAACAAAAAATGCTACCCTTAAATGACATTAAAGGTAGTATTCAAAGTCATTCCTGTAATTATGAGACCACACATGCAACGTATCACCCCCACTGCCTGAGGTACAAAAATCTTACCCTCTTAATTTTGCCCTCATTGCGTCAAAGTGTAAGCCTATCCTCTGTGATTGTCTGTGCTTTAAATTAATTTTCTGCATTAATCCATCTGACACACTTCAATTTTTTTCTGTTAACAGGTATGCGCTGGCTGCAAGAAACCAAGGAAATGTACAAAGAGATTCCAATTCCAAAAACTACCCAAAATATTAGTACTTCGTATCCTTTTTATCTACCGTTTCATGCAGATAACTTCTCTTAACAACGTCCTTTTAGCTGTGTTAAATTTGCGAAACGTTTCATTATAAGAAGTCAAAGTTGATTACTTGTTAGGAATAAGTGCATCGTAATGAAGCCATAATAAGTTCCTTTAAAGAAATGGTCTATTCTTTCTCAGAATAAAAGCTTTAAAGCCAATAACCGGTGAATTATTGCGACTAGAGAAAAACTGAAGCAGCTTACCTGAGAAGTTGCCTTTTAGATTTTTCACCATATACGTCATCTTGCCTGCAGAGTTGTGAAGAGAGTGTAATAAATAGTTTCATCCCGGCCCCACTTACTACCTCAATGAGGATAGGGCCTAAGCAGGAACCTCTTGTCAATCCATCAGGCAAATTTTCATAAGAGGAGTTGGTCGACTTTTTCAACCAGATCGGCAGGGTTGCAAACCAAAGGAGAAAAACGGTCTGCTAAAGGCAAGAACTTAACTCAGTTACTTAATGAATTGTGGCTAATATTTGCATCCATTCACTTTTCGACCTGGGTGGAGAATTTTGGATGTAGTCGTCATCGCTGCCAGCATGAAACTCAAATGTTGTAGGCGCACCTTCATCTGCAGGGAATTTTATTTTGTTGAAATGCAGATTGGCAGTAGGTCAAAAAACTCGCAATTTTCTACACAACAATGCTGAGATTTCTTACAGAAGTGCTCACCAAGTCATCATCCCATTCTTTGTTTTGTTTCTTTACCTCCTTTTGCAATCAGTACTATTCCTCCTGAGTAAATTTAACTGTACAGAATTGGTTAAATTTTTCCAAAAAATTCATAAGTTAACAAGTGAAAAAATTTATTTGTGCAAGAATTAATTTCCTATTTGACTTAATGAAAGAAAAAAAACTATCAATGCCATTGCTGTCGTTGCTAAAAAAAAATGTTGAACCGAAATTCTATAGAAATTGTCAGTTTTTAATTGATAATTAATTTTTTTAGGAATCAACTTCAGTTTTTTTATCATTCACGTCCAGAAATCAATATTCAAACAGAAAATTGCTGTTTACTTTTGTAACAAACCACACAAATTATTGAAACAAAAAAATGCCAGACAATGTATTTCAATAATTCTAACAGAATTAAGTTGAAATTTCTGAATTCTCCATCTTTTCTTGGATATTTTTCTTAACAGCAGAATCAGACTTGAAACGATTCACAAGCTATACCTCTCCCACTTCATCGTACCTGTCGAGTCGGTGGACGAGATCTTCTGTCAATGTCGATTTTCCTATGAATCTTGACATGACTGAATTTGCATCAACCAGGGAACTGAGCGCTATCAAATATTCTTTGTACGGGTTTTCCTGCCACTCAGGAACACTCGATGCTGGTCACTATGTAGCCTACTGTAAAAATATTCGCACTGATGAATGGTTTGAATTCAACGACTCAGAGTAAGCTCATCTTTTGTCAATATAATCACTAATTCTAATTCTAATTGAATACCAGGCTATGACAATATTTATTTCTTGCTATCGCCTAACCCAAGACTTAAACCAAGCTAACTTTGATCACTTGTAAGTACGTATGGCTTGATAAGTGGTTTTTCTGTAACTGTACGCAAATTCTCGGAAGGACTTCGTCCTATGATCATCAGGGAAAATCAGTTTTTGGTGCGATGACTTATTAACAATTTTGACCGGCAATCTTGCTTTCTAAATTCCCAAATATGTTTCAAGATCACCGAGCATATTTTTGGATATCTCTTCCAGCAGTAATGATAAGAGGGAAAACTTTAAAAAGTAACATGAGGAGCTAGGAAGGCGAAGGAAAAATTTAGTCATTATGCGGAATAAACAATGGACAAAACCTCAAAATCTCTCCCTCTCCTTGCTAATCATGGCCTAAGATCATAACAGTCTTGTTCTACAGGGTGTTCCAGGATTAAGTACAAATATTACAGCTCTCTTTACTATTAAGTGCCAGGTTTTAAACAAATTTTCTTTCAGCCGATCCATTAAGGAGAGTATGTCCTTCAATACTGTTTTTCAATGTAAAGAATGTATCAATTTTAGCCAAAACTGCTTGCATTTGAATCTTTATTTTTTTTGTCATCTCTGTCATATGTGGTTATCCTGAAGAAATCGCTAATTATTGAAACTTGGGACTTGGGGATCAGCACAGCTCGGAGAAAATAAATATTGACTGTCTATCCTTTAACTCACCTCATTTTCTTTCTTTCATTTTTCTGTTTGTTCTAAATTCCAATTTTCTTTTTCTAGGGTAATCCCTGTTTCCACATCAGAGGTTCTTAGGAAGCAACCCTACTTACTTTTCTACCAACAAATTGGCTCAGCTTCAGAGGTTTATCATGTTTGAACCGATTCCTAAAATGTAAGTCATTACTCTGCACTTGACCAATGTTTCTAAATTTTATATGATTATAGTCCTTCTCAGCACAATTAAGCCAGCAAAATCAGGATTAACATTTGTGCATGACAAAGCATTAGTTTTGTGCTATAATAATGTAACTCCTTGCTTGGCACTCTTTGTGGTGCAGGAGAGAGAAGCCAGCAATTCATTATACATTTTGAGAATAAAGTCAAGGGTTTTATTTCAACCCTTCGAATATCCCTAGTACTCTGACAGGATTTTTCTGTGTCTGGAAAATCATTATTTTTGCATGAAAATTTAGTTACAGCACCTATTGTGATGCTGCCATGCTTAAATTCCGTGCCAATGTCATAATTTGAAGATGCTCGTTGTTTCCTTAAAACCCAATCACAACCACTCAGGAAGACTGCCAATCAGCTTAAAGTCATCCAATTACACATGGTTTTAATTTGATGGCAGTAGAAGTAGGTGTTAAAACTGAATTTACCCATAAAAGTAGTGATTCTCGCGCGACTCATTCAATCAGGACTCTAGGAATTTTTATAAGATATGGAATGAAACCAAACGTTGTTTCATTTATTTTGTTAAGTTATATGTTTATTAATTTTCTCTTATTTTTCTGGTTATCGATCATCGTTTGATTTTTTTTCAGTTTATTACGTTAGTCTCTGTCTTTTATCTTCCAGTTTTCATGCCTCTTTCAGTAGCTTCTCCCATGCACTTTAATGTATTAAAAAGAAATATATATCTGAAGAACAATCATTTTTTTTGTTTGTTCCAGGAAGATATGCAACTCACTATTCAAAAACTGTTTGACTTACACGTTTTCAGCAAGTACATTCTAGGACTCAGTCTTTTCTTTTTTTTGTCCTGTCCTAATCTATTAATCGGAACTATTCCTGTTTTAGGAAACCTTTTTTTTTCATTTATTTACTTGTATTTTAATGCACTGCTTGTTTTTGAGGAGTGTACTCATGTAATTTATTATATTTATTATTTACCTAAGTATTTCGTTACCATGATGATGATAATGCAAGTATTGTGATCTTTGATCAAACAATTTGATCAAATCGGTTTAGGCAACCTTCAGTGAGGTTTGATTCTTCATTCACTGAAGACGTTATCGGTAGGAAATTTGTACTCTGATGTCAGGCTTTGTAGGTTGCTCCACCTCTGTAGCCTATCAGTGAATTATCTCTTTTCAATCTTGAATCACTAAAGATTGTTGACAGCTGATCATTTATTTTAGAACCAACGGCAACATAGCGTTTGTGCCAGACAGAGATAAGGAGCAATTCTCAAAATATGTTAAGCTAAATTTAGAATTTTTCACCCCCCCCTCACCTTGTAACGCTTTTGTTTGTTACATATATCCTCCAAAACACAAGAATAATGTTCTTCTTGAC